TTTCAATGGATCTTGAAAGAACGTTATTTTTATAAATATTATAGTATGTTCTACAGACGTGTTTTGTGACGTCAACTGATTTGTTATTTTCCTCCCCAATAATTTCACAGAATGTTAACTTCCATTTTGATAATTAAATACAGATCACAACTGCAACCATAGAAAGAAACTATGACTCAATTGTAATGCAATGTAAATCTTGTCTATCCACGAGACGAGCAATTTTGTGCAAACAACGCACTATACATCAGAAAATGGCTTTAATGATATTATGGCTTTAACCTTAGCGATCGATTAATTCAATTCTTAGATTTCAGCTAAGTTCTTCTATTTCAGCTAAGTACTTCAGCTTCATCTATTGTAAGCAGCGCATATTCCTGTTGGACACGTGACCCACTGACCTGAAATCTGAGTATCCCGCAAGATTCTTCAGTGCCTTACCCTCTCTTGAAAAGGAGGGCCTGGTTAACTTGAACAAAGTTAGATAAAACCCCAAAACAAGCCGTTGTTCAAAATCATTTTCAACACGTCTTCTAGCTCTTCTTGGGCATTAAGGTTTTTGAAAGAAATCCTTCGTTAGGTTTTTGTCGTTTTGCCTCGTCAGGTTGCCGTCAGTCAGGGAATTTTACCCCTTCGGGCAGGAGCTCAGCGTCGTTAGTGATCGGGCTCCCCAGACGGTCAACCGTTTAGGAATCTGTAGTATCTCGAAATGTTTCTCATCCGTGACTTCTCGCAGCGTAATCAAGCAACTCGGCTAGCGACGCTGCCAGCCTTAATAAGCAAAAGCAAGACTTTAGGTATGGAACTCTTCTTATAAAACATCCTTGAGTCGGTGTACCTCGAATATCACACACCACTGTCCGTACACAGCTATTTAAAAATGTACAGCAATAAAATATTTCGTACGACTTGTCACGAGAACACTGGCCGAGGCGGTAAAAACAGTTATCAGAATGATTAAACCGTTTGTTAAAAAATATAACCCTTAACACTGAAATGTAAGTCTCCAACGTTTTGGCTCAACCTCCAAGGACGAATGACCTCAGAGAGTGACTGAAAGATTGGCAGCTTTACGCACAAAACATTGTATCCTGGGCAGCCCAGATTTCATGATCCACAACTATAGAAGTTTTTGTAAATATTTACGAGTAAATCTTTCCTTTCAATTGAGGGAAATGTTTCTTTCAATGCACTGAGGCGCGACCTACTGGAAAAAGGAAAATAAGATTACTTTTCCAAAGCTGGAGAGAGAGAAAGAGAGAGAGAGAGAGAGAGAGAGAGAGAGAGAGAGGGAGGGAGGGAGGGAGGGAGAAAAGAGTTTTCGCAACGAGCGCAAAACCTGAGAAAAAGACTTCCCGTTCACGCGTCGCAAAGAAACAAAGATTACTTACCAGAGCTGAATATTTAAAACGCGAAACAAATGCTTGAAATGCAAAACAAACGGAACCGCTTTAAACCTAAAACGAATAGCGTCTGCGTAATCTCTTTCCTCGAATGTCACCGGCAGGATCGAGTTATAAACGCGCAGCTTAACTTCGCATCGCATGTTTCGGGGCGCGGAGCAACGAATGCAAGGGAATCCGCGCGGAAGCGCTTCTGTTTCGGGAGGCAGCCTAGCTTGTGGAGTTCGGCGCGTGCCTGCTCACGCGCATGCGCGGCCGGATTAGACCACGTGACCGCTCGCCGCCCCCAGCGCCGCCCCAGGCGGGGGCGCACCAGTGCCCGCTTGCGGAAGTTGTATATATTCCAAATTATATCGAAGAAACAAAATCATTCGCGGTCCAGGAGCTTCAACTTTTGGAGAAAAAACAAAGAGGTTCTAGGTCTGGACAACGAACATTTTTGCTTGGTAATAAAAGTTGAAGGATTCCTACGCATCACAGAAGTAACAAACAACCCAATTTTAAGCAAGACAAGTTTACTACCGTTAAATCACTCGCCCCCTCCAAAAAAATGTGACATCGAACCTTTTTCTTTGCACTGATTCAAATGGGAGGCGATGATATAAATCACTGAATTACATACTTTTTATTGATTAGTGATTACGGACGCGTCAACTGCTTAGGTCATTAGTCCTGTAAATGTAGTCCCGTAGCCTGTTTTTTTTTCCTCGAGAGGTGGCGGTGATCCTTCCCTCCACTGGATGGTGAGATTCAGCGACAACCTACAGGCGACTAGCGGGGATTCCCCAACTAGGTATATCTCATCAGCGGGGCACCGCCCTAGTCGAGTCAAGCTCTAAGCTCCCGACCGGTCTTCCGACATTTGTGGTAGTGTAGTGAGTGTATGCATGAGTGTGGTAAAGGTGGGAGGATATGAGAAGGTGAGGGAAAATATTGCTTGCGGTCCGTAGCCCGTCTGAAAACTACTCCGGCATTCCCCCGGTACTGATCGGAGGAACCACGAAAATCTTCCGATAACTGCAGCCAGCCACTATAATTCTTCCGCCGACAGCGACAGGCTTCCACCTAGCTGACAAGCTAGTGTCAAAAAGCCTCCCAACGTCGGGAGTCGAACCATAGCCAGGGCCTCCCGGTCATAGGCACTGCAGTGACATTCAAAGAGATGTATATCTTCATAACCTTTTCTTTTTTCACAAAAATGTCTTGAGCTGTAACGACTTCACAACGTGTTAAGATTTGAGTTGATCGACTGCATGCTCTACTAATGCTATTATATTTGTCTGCTTTACGTCACAGTTTTTACGGTTTTTGATGATAAATAACGATTCCGATGTTTAATTTCTATACCTGCAGTGAATGAATACAGGATTTTCTTCATCCGACGATTTTGAATATATTGTACGACAGATGAAGTAATGGTGGAATGAGAGGGGAAACGGAAGAATCTCCAGAAAACCTGGCGCGGCCTCACATTGCTGTTTTAAATGCAACTCCTGTCTAGAGGAAAATTCTAGCAGTCGGCTGCTCTGATCCTAGTTTTCCATAGTTTCTCCGATTGACAACGGGCGAATGCTATTTCAGTACACTAACAATCGGTCTCCTTACAGCGCTTAATCTTTTCTACATTCTTGTCGCCTTTTCTCTTCTATACCCTTATACTTATAAACACCGCTACCATACGAGTGGTTCATACATGTTGGGAGCTTAAGGCTTGTTCCAGCGAGAGTTATGTTCCATTTGAAACCGTAACAGGATAACGGTAAATTCCATGTGCCGACTTGTACGTCGCCGACAGATCTCACAGTCCAGCAGGGAAGGACCACCTCCACCAACCGTAATACAGGGTGGGCAAAAGTCATTACCCAATAATGGGAGTTATTTATCCTCATTATTTTGTTACATTGTTTTAAAATTGTTTACCCTCTGCATCGACACATCTCTGAAGCCTGTGAGTAGACTTTTTAGGACTCTCTATAATAACTCTTAATGATTTAAAATTTGTCTCCTACTTAATTATGGCTAACCCAACCTATGGCAGTCCATCATTGGTCCATTTGCTTCGAAAGTTTTCGTAAATTGAATACCGCTTTTCGTGTCAGAGGAACAGTATATAGTGATCATTCCACTCATCAGTTATTAACGAATAACCACCGTTGCACCATCTTCGAATACAAAAAGTTTTTTCTTCTTTCGACAAAATGACAGATAGGGAACGTAGCAAATCTGTAACGAATAATCTTGCTGCGGATGATTGTTTAGCAATGCACTCAAGTGTGTCTGTAACTAATTATCATAATGTATAATTGTCACTGGCGGAGATTTAACATTCATGCGTGATTAAAACCGTAATAGAGTATAAGTAAAAATGGAAATTGATTTTTGGCCCACTTATTAGTGTACACACTACATTTACGGGACTAATGACCAGAACAGTGGGCGCGCCCGGGACCAGTAAACCCTGCTGTGCTAAACCCTTTCCGGCACCTCTCGCCAGCGAAGGGCCGACCGCGGCGCGGCCCACGGGGAGCGCCTTATTGTAGGCTTAATGCGTTATCGATTCCCACCCCGCGCGCCCCCGGGGACGCCCCGGCGGCTCCCGAGTACGCGCGCGCGTGGTGCGTCGGCGTCGATCTGCGTCAGCGGCTCTTTGAGCGCGCGTCGCGGCTTCTTCGCGCTTCGCGTGCGAGCTGGGGATCGATCACGCGGGCCGCAGAGAAGCGCCATAACCGCTTTCACGCTTAACGTGACGCAAAATTTACGAAAGCAGTTAAATCGCAATCAGTGATTTTTACTTTCTCGCAAGGAAATAGAGAGAAGTTCACGTAATGCTGCGCGGAAAAACAGCAAATTATCGGCAGACAAACTCTTTATTACAGGGCCGTAGTAACTGTGAATAAATCCAGTAGCTACATTTAGGAAAAAATCTTCTAATACGTGATGTAGCCAGAATCCATGTTTTACGGATTCTGGGTACCGAAAAATCAATTGACGGCAAAACGATAGAGACTCTTCTCTAACAAATATGTTCCTTAAAGATAGTTTTTGAAATAAGATCATGTACATTTTTTTGAAAATTTGAGTACTTTTTGCGTAATTTTGGGTAAAAATACGACCGAGTAAATACGTACTGTTTTAGCACTAGTTTAAGCTAAAAATTGTTCCAAGAGAATATCATTTTATAATTGGAAAAAAATGTTAAACATTGTGATATTTTCTATAATAATGTGTGTAGAATTGTTTTATAAATATTATTTACGAGAATAAAAAATAACTGTGTGCACTTTTCACTATGCCAGTTCTCGAAACGCCACGCAGCGTTATGACTCTTACCGCCCCGTCCCGCCCCGCCCCGCGCCACCCCCTCCTGCCCCCACTCCTCCGCCCTGGTCCGCTCCCCGCCCCCTCCGCCCCGCCCGCCCCGGCCCGCCCGCCCTCCAGCCCGCCCCAGCCAGCCACCCCGCCCGCCCCGCCACCACGCCACCCCCCGCCGCCCACCCCCGCCCAAGCCCCTGCCCGCCCCGCCCATCGACGCCCACCGCCACGCACGCCGCACTGCCACGCCACGCCTCTCCACGCCTCACCACGCCTCACCACGCC